TGATTACAACTTTTCCGTAGCTTTGTCTTTCATCTTAAATGTTGGGGATGAGACAGTCCCTGAATATATTACTATATATTATTTATAGATAGAATTTCATATACTGAAACAGAAGTGATTTATCCAACTGAAATTAGCCAAGGTTTAGGGTTATTTAGGATCAGTGGTGGGATTCAGCCAGTTCGCACCACTTCAGGAGAACCAGTTGTTAACTTTCTGAGCAGTTTGGCAAACTGGCTGTTGCCAAAATCATTAGGGCAGAGAACCGGTTGTTAAATTACTTGAATCCCACCACTGTTTAGGATTATTGTATCAATTCTGTGCTATTTGCTTTGCAAAGAAATAGATAATAGGGAAATGACCTATAAACATATTCTTTGTATCAGATGGCTATATTCTTCTCAAAACAAGTCTGGATCAATCTTATTTCAGAGAAAGCTAAAACCTCTATTTTACCACAGTTCTCCTCTTAGCAATGTTTGATGCGTCCTAGAGAGAGATAAGTGCAATTCTGGTGTGAGTTCAGTTAATATTCTTCCAATAACAACAAAATGAAGAATGTAATACGTCTCTATTAATTTAATTTCAAAACACTTGCTTATTCTTTGCTTTTGATAGCAAATAAGTCTAATCATAGACTTCCTAAATTCAAGCCAATACAAATAGAGCTCAGCAGAAAAACCAATAGATATGAGTCAGAATTAGAATAATGTTGACCCAATCCATTGACACGAACATACTCAAATGCAGTCTCAGGCATTATGGATTCTGTGCTTTTGTCTGGTTTTTGGGGATGCCTTGGGTAATGAAACAAGTAAAGAAAAGTTAGGGAACAAATGATTCAACAGGCAACATAAGATTAATCTGGCATGTGACAACACATAATTGTGTCTACTCCACCACAATGAATGAACCAAAGAAGGTTTTATGGTCTCAGTGTTGTCCTCAAGTAGAAGTCCAACAGTGCTTTTTACAGCGATCAAAGGTTTGTTGTCATCTGCCCAGATAATCCCATACAGGGTTGGAAGCCTCTTGTGACAAATTTGCAAGGCACTTCAAGGACAAAAATCACTTGTCTTCTTGCTGACTTGCATGCTGCTTTTATTACAGAATTAGCAGTTATTCAGTGAACTATGTGATCCAATTATATAAGATCATTTTCAGTTTTTTTAGGTCAAAGAATAAGAACAAGACACTTGTAGCTCTCAATTCTACAACATGCTCTCTTGACTCCTGCCCCCTTTGGCTTATTCAAACTAGCTATCCAGGGGAATGGTGAATGTTTCTTTGTGATGAAATGACAAAGTTGTTGGCCTTAAAGAACACTTTAAAAACCTTCTCTAGATTCAGGAGTTTATAATAATTACTGCCCAGTCACAAACACTTTCTAGAGCAGTGGTTCTCAACCTTCCTAATGCTGCGACCCTTTAATACAGTTCCTCATGTTATGGTGACCCCCAACAATAAAATTATTCCTAAAACCATTGAAAATATGTGTTTTCCCATGGTCTTAGGCAACCCCTGTGAAAGGGTCATTCGACCCCCAAAGGGGTCCCGACCCACAGGTTGAGAACCACTGTTCTAGAGCAAGATATTGGAGGACAATGTCCATACAGGTGTAGACATTATTGAGAAATATTTTCTTTATTTTCTAATCCATTTCAGTCTGGATTCCTCAGTTTTGGGACTTGATTTTGTTACCATTAATTATTTATCCATAGTAACATCTATTGTATTAGCATGTCTTTGTGAGTTAGGGATTGAAGATAATTATCTATGTTGGCTTCAATTCTACTCTCTTGGTTTTATTTCTACTTGCAGGGATAGCTTCAAACAGTACACTCTCATGTATACTGTATATATATCAATGATGGCTAACTTTTTCTGGACCAAGTGCCCAAAGTGCGTGTGTGCATGTGCGAATGCGTGTGCACCTGAATCCCCAAAATGCAATGTGCATGCACTCTCCCAACCTCCCCCCTGTGCATGCACGTGCGGCCTCTGCATGTGTCCCGCACCTGCACGTGCCCCTGCCCCCCCACAGAGGCACATGTGGCCCCCACAAACACCCTGCCCAGCACACATGCACAGCAGAGACCTGATGTCCAGCTGGACAGCGGGAGGCATGCACACATGCACGCATATACAGCAGAGCTGAACTTGGGCAATGGCTTGGATGCCCACAAAGAGGGCACTGTGTGCCACCTGTGGTACGTATGCCATAGGTTTGCCATCATAGATATATATGAAATTACTGGTGACAGGTATAAGAGTTTGGGATGAGGTGCTATCAACACGTTGAAGATATTTAAAATATCTTTAAAAGAAAATAAATATTGTTCACATTAAACATATAATATATTTTATTAAAATTATATAATTGCATAAAATAAATGATAAATAAATAAATAAACAAACAAACAAATAAATAAATAAATAAAATGTTGAAGATATCCAGCTCAATTTCTTTGTAATATCTGAATAAGAAATAGAGATGCATGATCTCCGAACAATGCTACTGAAGCAGTAGGAGTAGCAGCAATCTCCAAAGATCCACAGTCTCTTGGTAGTGAATTCCCAGATTATGTGATGTTGCAAATATTGCAGTCCATAGCAGAACAGCTTAGATGTGCCTATTTTATCTTATGTGACACTGTTTTGGGGATATCTAGAAGCTCTATATGGAACATCTTGTCCTGAATATCTTGGCTGGCTTAAAGAAAGAAGCATTGAAAATACTCTCAAAATAACAAATATAAAGTTGTTAGAACAAACTTTTAAAAAAGGCTGGAGAGTCAACTCAAAACCTTAAAGTGGACTTGCCCTTTAGTGTTTTTGGTTTTTTTTAAATAAGGAACATGAACTCTAGTTCTTTAGATGAAAACCACAGAAGGTTTTACTATTGTATATAGTGTTAGTCCTCTAAAACTAGCCAAGATTTTCCTGTTGAAATCCTTGCTTTGCTTCTGACCCTTGGCAAAATGTGTAGTGCTGGGAAGCATTTCCATTGTATGGCTGGATTCCATGTAAGTCTGTAAGGCTGAGCCGCGCAATCATCAGAGGCTTTTTTTTAATTTTTAAAAGCATTTTTTTTCTACAACTTATTCGGCCGAAGAGGTTGTAGAAAAAAATGCTTTTAAAAGCCTCTGACGATCCCAGCTGAGTTGCCTGATTGTCAGAGGCTTTTAAAAGAAAAAAAGCCCTCTGCCGATCAGGCAACTCAGCTGGAATCTTCAGAGGCTTTTAAAAGCATTTTTTTTACAACCTCAAAGAGGTTATAGAAAAAATGCTTTTTTTAAAAAAAAGTTGGCCACGCCAACCCAGTCACATTACCTTCTCCCCCACCAAGCCACGCCCACAGAACCGGTAGTAACAAATTTTACATTTCACCACTGGATCCAGCCTACAATTAAGGAGAACTTTTGTGACAGTGAGAATAATTAATCAATGGGATAGCTTGTCTCCTGGAACCTCCATCATTGGAGGGATTTCCCCCCCAAAAGTAGACTGGACAGCCATTTGCCTGGGATGGTATAAGGTCTCCTGCCTTGAGCTGGGGATTGGACTAGAACAGGGGTCCCCAACCCCCGGGCCATAGCCCATTACTGGGCCATGGCTGGTTTGGAAGTGAGCTGCACAAGTGGTGGGCTAGCACACACGCGTAAATGGCAGGCTGGTGCACACAGCTCTATTTATATGATTGGTGGGCTGGCACACGCATGCATCGGCTCACCGCTTGCATGGGCCAGTTCCCCTCTCCCCCCTCTATCAGACCACCAAATCATTAAGGTTTGGGACTGCTGGACTAGAAGACCTCTGAGGTCCCTTCGAAGCCTATGATTGTATGTTCTAGATCATATCAAACGTTCAACAGTATTATTAATATGTGGTGATTTTATTAACCGTACCCTTTCACATTATTACTTCTGGATATTTGTTTAGATTGTTAACAACTTCTTGATTAGAGAAAGATAGCTATCAGCATCCCCAAATGAATTGATCTGATCATCCATGTTGTTCTGATTATTTTATAAATTTGCTTCACGTTAAGAAAAGGTAGAGAAATAGCTTTTCAAGGTAACTTTAACGCACAAGTTGTAATTAGACATATTCTGGGTGAAGGAAAACTTTGTTATTATGGCATCTTGCATTTATCCCTTGTTAAGAGATCCTTTGATTCTTATGCGATCAAGACAATTACAAGCTGCTGTAGGTATATGTGAGTCCCCCCCTCTCCCAATGATTTTGCATACACCAATGATCCAGAAGCAAAGGGAAGAAATTTTATATCTGAATATTTTCCTTTTGTGCTTTGGAGTGCTTTTAAGAGCACTTAATGCAGCCTGCTGTGCTTAGTTTTGTGTCCTGTAGGAGATGCTCTGACACACTTGCGTGTGTGGAAAACAAAACAGAGAGCTTGTTGCTTTTTCGGTAGGAAAGAAACACTTGCCCCCCAGGAGCCTTCACAGTAGGAGTTCACCAGGCTAGCCATTTAAATAACACTCTGTTAGAATAGCAGCACTGCTCCACTTCTTAATCAAGTTTGCAATCCATTGTGATTATGGTTTATGCAAACATGCTTGCTGCAGCCAACAAAGCAATTCCCTCACAGTCTCCTGTGATAGCACCTCTAATTTGGAAGGATGTTTTCCCATGGCCATACCCATGATGATGAACCGACAGGCAAATTCTTCTATGTTGTATCCATTCAGGGCAATTCTTAGCTATGGGTTAGAAAGGAAGCAAAGGGAGTATTGATATAACATTGTTTTCATAGGTCGCATGAATTGATCTGTGCTGAAGGCCAACTATAGCATAAAAAATACTACTTGAATAAAAATACCCCGTCTTTGCTACTTGCAGAAATGGTTGCTTCATTTTCTTCTTTGGCTCTTTAGGCCTAGATTTAAGCTTGAGCTTTCATGGGTATTTCAGTGAGAACATGTGGCAGATATGCTTTAGAGCATCAGTGGTGTGTGTAATGAAAACCCTTGCAAACCTTCCTAGATACTTATTGCTTTACTTTGCCAGTGATAGTGCAAACTATCAGCCACTAGGATAACAGCACTAATACAAAAGCACGGCTTGTCTTTTTCTTTTCCCACTGCCCCAGTAATAAAATGTGATCTCCATCAATGAATAAGAGAAGGTAGATCCAATTCTTATATAGTAGAGAAGAACCTGGAAAGAAAAGAAGCAGAATGTATTCAGAAAGTGAGGCCTTACACTGGAAGAGCAGATTAAGGATTGTAAGCAATTTGTATAATCTTGCAATTGTATATAAATTAAGACCATTTTATTAAAAAAACCCACTCAATTCATTCCTATTTGTATGGCGTAGCAAATAAGACAGTCAAACCTTATAACAGACTTTAAAAAAAGTTATTCGGGGTGGGGGGGGTGGGGGGGGATGACCCCAACCAATCACTTTGCTTTTTTTGATCTCTTAGTGAACTGCACTACTACATTCATAATTTTAGCAGCAGAAAGGAATTAAGAGCAGTTAATGACAAATGAAACCAGTCTGATTTGCTTAACATAGAATCTTGCTTCAGCACACAAATGTTGCTTGTTCAGCCATCGGATAAGATTTAAGTGCCTGGTTTTTCTTTCTCTCTCTCTCTAAATATGTGATTACTAATTCAGTTCAATAAAATGGATTTTTTTTATCTAAGTGTCTTTGCTTGTTCATTATCATCAACTGCTGATGTCTAGACACAGAGACAGCTTTGATTTCTGTCAACAGGAATTTTGTGCCACAGAAACAGCCCAGTGAGGCAAAGAGTGCAGCTTCTTTCATGTTGGCTCACTGCCTCCATCAACAATAGCTTATTACAAGTGCTGGTCAAGGCTGCAGAGGCAATCTTGGACAAGTCAAAGTGATGATAATGGAGAAGAGAGTGGATCATGTTGCTTTACCAAGCAGCTTTAGGGTGGACAGTTTCAAATGAAACTTCACTGAAGTAAAGCAAAAACGTCAAAGATTAGCGGAGCCCTACAATATTATGTGAGAAGTAACAATTTGGTGTAGTGAATAAGGTACCAAGCCAGAAACCAGGAGACTGTGAGTTCTAGTCCTGCCTTAGGTACAAAGCCAATTGAGTGACTTAGAGCCAGTCCATCTCTCTCAGCCCTAGGAAAGACACAATGGCAAACAATTTCCAAAAGATCTTGCCAAGAAAACTGCAGAGACATGTCCAAGAAGTTGGTAGAAGTCAGAAACTGACTCAAAGGCACACATATACACAAAATAAAAAAAACCAACGAATGAATATTATGCAAATAAAAAAACAGATGTTGGGGTGCCTGCCATAATTTTAAGGAGAAAAATATTAATTCAGTCTGCTTACATGCTGAACAAAGGTTGAGCAATGATCTGATTGTCCAAATTTAGTAATTGAAAAACAAAATTGTCAGATCCAAAAACTTCCCCCAAGTATACCTATTAAAAAGGGTTACATTGCCGCAATCATCAATCCAAGTAAATACGAATGCATATCCAGATTGGATGTTGGATGAGACTCTTCATTGCACCATTGTAAAAGTCCAGGTTTGTGCAACATGGTGCTTTCTAGATGTGTTGGACTTCAGTATCTGAAATAGACAGCATAGAAGGCACCAGGGTTGAGGAAGGCTGGACTCTGTAAATATCATATTATGTATAGAATAGATACTGTAGATAGTTGCTCAAGGAACAATGGCAAAGGAGAATGTTTGAAATAATAATTGATGTTACATCCATTCATTTATTCCTCTACCTCTCTCTTTCTGTCTTTCTTTCTCTCTTGCCCAACCTTTAGATTTTATTTTTTATTCACAATGTGCATAGCAAGAAGCATCAGGAACATGTAAAATAACATAAAAAAAATAACAAATAAGCATCTAAGAAATACTGATAACAGTAGGTTTCAAATCATACAAGCTTTTTAATATTATCCAATTACAACATGTCTCCTCTACTCCATTCCACCCCACCCCCAAATCACAGCCAAAAGATTTAAGCAGATTCTTCAGGTTTTCTGGCTTAATGAGCTTAATATGGATATTTCAAAATATGAACCCTTAAAAATGAATGACATAACTTCTTTCAGTGCACACAGTGACCTGGGAGAAGCATTTGCTCACTTTCATTTGTCCATTTGTCCGCTATTCGCAGAGAAGGAGCACCATACACAGAAAGACTCAAATAATCAAAGATCTAGACCACGCCCTCTCTATGGCCTACAACCAGCTCAGCAGAGACTAAAATCCAGGAAAAGCTTTCTTAGGCTGACAGAAGAATTTGAAAGCAAAGTGGATCTATGGAAACTTACAAAGAACCAACACTGGATAGAACCAATGGAGGAGATGGCTCTTGGGTTTGATGAAAACTGGGAAGTATGGGAATCATTGAATAGACTGTGCATGGGTACAACAAGATCTGGAGACACCCTGAACAAATGGGGGCTATCTGGTGGCTTCAGCTCTTTGCAATTGTGGTGACATGCAGACAACAACATCAGTGGGGGGTTGCCCCCAGTTTGGACTGGTTCTATAGAACCAGTAGTAAAACTGGAGGGAGGCTCCGCCCACAGACCCCGATATCATCAGAACGCTTCTGCGCATGTGCGCAGCCCCGTTGCAAACCTGTAGAAAAAGGTAAGTCAAACCCACCCCTGAACAACACATATGTATACCTGCCCTTTGTGCCCCCATCAGTGTACACTTGAGGACCTCATGGCAGTCGACAGAATGCAATTAATGTTGTTAGCTTCTGGGCAAGATCTGTTTAATTTGTACACATTTTAATTTTGTATTTTACATTTTAAATTTTATGTCATGTAGCACGCCTTATTTTAATTGTGATGTTTCTGACATGAATAAATAAACAAACAACATTTGTCCATTTTAGCACAATTTTTTACAAAAACTTGATTTGCCTAAACTGAAGCAAGCTGTTTCCGCTCCCTGTATAGGGATGTATTTTGCCACTGCAATAAACCTCTCGACAGTTAGCCTCTACTGTGTTGGCTGAGATAGTGGACTGTCCAGGCGCATTCCTAATCTTCAGTGTAGTGCTGTTTATTCCTGATGAATAATTACAGATCCACTCACTATGACAAACCATTGTCTCTTGCCAGAGCAATGTCATCTTACATTCTTTCCCCAGACAAAAACAACAAAAAGTTTGACTTCAGAGAATTTAATCAGGTGGATTAGTGAAAAACCTTAACTCTTGTTGAGGATTAGCTAGCCTCTAATCCAATTTGATAACTAACATGCCAAAAAAGAGTGGTTTGTACTAGAAAGATGAATAGTTTGTGTTTATATGAAGTTAAATTATCTAAAATTACAGCTAACAGAGAGTTTAATATGGGATTTAATGAAGTATTGGCTAGGGCTTTGACAAATGTTAATTCATACCCTCCCCAAAAGTGAATCTTATGAAGGTGACAAGCGCCAGATGGACAGCAGCGGCATTCTTAGATTGTTGCCTATTTAGCAGAAGCAACAAGACCAGGAAACAGGGAACATTCAGGCAAAACGTTGTGTGATATTTCAGTCATGAAATGGAGAGTGTCCTCAAAGTAGATGAGACTATTTCAGCATTCCATTTGTAGTTGTTTGGTTCAGTAGGTGGTCTTGAGTCTCAGACTGTGTGTCATATCTGTACTTAGGCCCTAATAATTTTTTAGATTTGTTTCAAACAAAATACTCACCCATACTTTTGAAACTGAAGGATGTCAAGATCTATTTGCGATAGGACATGGGAAGCTTTAAATTAATTAAATGAAAAAAAAATCATAACAATGTGATTGGTTTTAGCTAATATATTACTTGGGTTGGGTTAATCTAAAATGCTATTCGCATCATAGTTATGATGTTTAAACTTAGTACTAAAGTATATCTTTTGGGTGTGTGGCAGTAGTAATCTTAGTAGTAGGGACAGAGAACTTGTCTTGCATAGAATAATGAGCGTAAGCTGGTCATCACAGTAGGCTTTGGTTGTGCCATGGTATAAAGTCCAAAATGTTCAAGTACTGATCAATACTATGCTTAGTATTAGCAGAGAAGGCTACATGTAATATGGGTGTATCTAAGGCAAGTAACCAAGTTGATAATTTCTCTGTCTTAGAAGATCAAATGAATACCTCAATTGACCAAAGCCTTTTGGGGTAGCAGAGGTTTTTATCTACGAGGTCATTTGGTGAAAATCACAATATAAGGCGAGTTATTATTATTTATCAAGTTTATTATGGCTGAATGTAGATGTAGAAGAATGTAGATGAAGAAAGCAAGAAATGATCATTAAAAGAAGCAGAGAAAATGCAGAGCAATTTTCATGGAATTAAAACAAATGTTCTACAAGTGAGTAAGGAGGATTAAACAAAAAACTTCAGCAGAGTGACTGGAATTAAAATAAAAATAAAAGTGATGAAGGTATTTGGGATGAAACTGAAGTAACAAATGCTGAAAGGAGTATTTTTAGCAATGTTGGGAATGATGTCATGGGAATGATGATATTTAAAGAATACATAGAATGATAGTCCAAGAAAGAATTCATGGAAAGGAAGTCATAAATGTCAGAGTGGTAAGGATATAAAAATGTTAAAATATGGTTGTAGTTTGCTGATTTAGAGACTATGACTTGCTTACTATATGTGTAAAGACTAGTTTTATGCCTGATAATTGAAAGAATGCCATGATTGTCCCCTTATAAAAGGGAAATGTAGCAAGTGTGAACATAAAAACTACAGAGAAGTAAGATTAAAAATGGCTGGAAAGATATTTTGCATTATGTATGAAAAGGAATTAGAGGTGACAATGAGCAAAATGTAAGGTTTTATGATAAGCATGAAGTGTAGAGACTAGATTTTGCACTTCAGCAAGAAATGTAAGAATGTAAGAATAAAATATAATGTTCTTTTGTTGGTTTAGAGGAAATATATGATAAGAAAAATAGGCTTGAATTATGGAATGTTTTGTGCAAATATGAAGTTTAAGTTTAGTCATGAAATCCAACAAAGGTGGAATGTTATGGAAATAAGGGATGAGTGAAGATAAATGGATGATTAGTGAATTGTTCAACATTGAACAGTGGATAAGATAAGGATGTGTAATGCTCCTTTAGTTGCTTGATATATTTATGGAAAATGTATAAGAAATATTTGTGGGAGTTTAGACTTGCGTTGGTTGAGGATGTGAATGTACATATCCTTTTGTATGCAGAGAATGCCATGTTGTTGGCAGAAAATCAACATGATTTGCAGTGAATATTAGATAGATTATATGATGCAATGAGGCATGTGGATCTGAAAATCAATGTACAAAAGACCAAAGGAATTTTGCTTGACAGGAAAAATTGAGTGTCTGATTTCAAATTACATATAAATGGTAAAAATTTAGAACAAGTAGATGAATTTTGTAACTCTGGTAGAATGTTTACTAAAGATGAAAAAAGGATGGAGAAATGTGGGATGCAAAGATGATGTATGGATAGAAAGATAATGGTAATAATGTGTGTTTTTTGCAAATAAATATATATATTTAAACAATATATTCAAAAACAAAAATATGTTTGTAAGAATGTGCTTCTGTGAACTTCTTTATATGGAATTGAGAATTAAGTAAGTCAGTAGACTTACTGAATTGAATTGAAGGCAGTAAAATGGGATGCCTAATGCATACGTTTGATAATGTGATCAAGAATTAATGGGTGCTGAATAAATGTGGATTTAGCACAAGAGAGAGCACTATGAAAGAAGTGGATTGAGGTGGCTTGATTATGCAGATAGAAAGAACTGAACTGAAAAACAAATATATGAAAAAAATGAATTGGTGAAGAAGTTCAAGAAAATATAACTTATATAACTTTTTAAATCTATCATACTCTATGTAAATGAATCTCATAGTTCCTATATTTATCCATAAAAAATCTATATCCATAGACAATTGCACATAGATAGTAAGTGTAATCAGCAAGTGTAATTGGTAGCAAGGTCAATCCATTGAGTAAATGGAACCATATGATTATCTTACCAATGTTGCAATATCAGTATTTTAGCTATAATTAGGGGATGGAGAATCCATTTACATTGTCCAGCTGTGAAATTCCATGCACTGGGTGTGTAAGTGTATTATCCTCAGAAAATTTAAGCTATTTGCACAGTCACATTTATACAGTCCACTATTTCTCCCAAATGTAGTAAGTATAGGATGTTGTAAAACATGTGTTTTAAAGAAGCACTGTCCTTAGTTCATCACACCAGCATGCCTACCATCCCTGTTCTACTGTCCCCATTTATTTGTACTCATTTCATGTGCTCATGTCCACGTTTATACTTATACCTGTTATCTCGTACATGTTTGACAAACTAACTAAGTAACTAAATAAAAATAAAATAAATAAATCTTACCTGCCAACTTTCTTTCTCACTCTTGGAAAATGATGGTTGCAGTTTTGGCAACAGTCTCTTCACTGCACAGTGCACCTGCCTGACTTCATGCTTAAAGGAAGGGAGTCTGCTCTCTGCTACTGGTCGATAAAGGCATGGGCTGAGTGGGAAGGAAGGGTGAAAAAGTGGCTGTCAGGAATCTGTTCACAAATGATGAATCAGATCAATCATATGGGCAGAAGAGGCAGCTGCTTTGGAACCCTCAGTGTTTCAGATGCCCAGAAGCTTTCAGTCCTAGCCAAAGGCCAGCTGAGACTTTCTCAGTTGAGCAACATTCATGCCAACCAACTCAAAATTGAAAAAAAAAAAGTTGACCTCCCTCCAACTTCTCATCAGCAGAGACAAAACATGAGGATTCTGAAAAACCAATGCGGGCCATGAAAATTTGAAGATAAAGGAGGGGAACAGACATCTCATTTATTTCTTCTCATTTTGCCAAATTCTGATTCACTCAGTTGTCTGACATCCAATTTATGTCTCTGAATTTTCCTGTTCCTGTTTATTGTTTCTTGGAATCTATAGCAAACTGCCACCATTTTTGCCCCAAGGTCTGTAAAGCTGTTAAAGCAGCTCTACTCTCAGCTAGTTGACTAGCAGTGAAGTACAAATCACTACACCCAGAATTGTGGACCCAAAATTCCTAGCAAAAAAGTCTCATTTTACAGCATTTTGTCATCACTCCACAAAAGGGAGAAATGATAAATCACTAACGTGCTCTCCTGAATGATCTGTTAAGATGCACTACCAGGTGTGCTTGCTGATGATGTGGACAGCAGATTACCTTCCACCAATAAGAAATCACCTTGTTGAAGACCAGGTTGCTTGGCAAAAACATGTGCTGCCTTATTTGAACCTTCTGACTTATTTATACTAACCGTAGATAAGTTGGAAGTATATCAGTTCAATTGCTCAGCACAGACGACTACATGGGAACATAGAGATGAGACCAGTGGTGGGATTCAAGTAATTTAACAACCAGTTCTCTGCCCTAATGATTTCTTCCAACAACCAGTTTGCCAAACTGCTCAAAAAGTTAACAACCGGTTCTCCCGAAGTGGTACGAACCAGCTGAATCCCACCACTGGATGAGACACTGAGCTGGAAAGCCCCACGAGAGAAAATCTCTGATTGACTATGTGCAGAGATCTGCTTATAACATCAGCTTTGCTTTTTCCTGGCTCTACATTTGGTCTGATTACTGAATTGCAATTTCAGATCCATTGGCTGCTTCATGAAACTCTACAGCTTTGGGCTAGACAGCAGCTGAGATTGGAGGAAAGAGAGTGAGGCAACATTGTATGGGATGAAGGCAGTTTTGGGTATAGCAAAAGCACTTAGACTTATATTCCACTTCATAGAGTTTTACAGCACCCGCTGAGCAGTTTACAATGTCAGCATACTGCCCCCAACCATCCTCATTTTACTGATCTCAGAAAGCTGAAATGCTGAGTCAACCTTGAGCCGGCAGAATCGAACTCTGATAGTGGGCAGAGTTAACCTACAAAACTGCAAACTGCGAACCACTGCAACCACCACAGTATGGACATTATCTCATTCCTTTTAAATGTAGTAGAGCTACTGCTTAATTTTTTAAAATGGTTATTCATTATTACCATCAATTACGTTTTTCTGAACATAACTGTCCTCTAGAATCTGCATGTTGGGAATTTCACTTTGAGAGGAGAGCCAGTTTGTGCTATTTATATAATATAGGTCTGGCTCAAATGATCTATTATTACTTAGTAAAATATTCATACAATTGGCCTCGGTTATCCATTTAGTAGCATTGATTGAATTGTGGAGGCCAGTACTTTTACATATTAGCACATTGCAATTTGGATTTTTTTTTAAAAAATAAAATAAATGAAACAAGTAGCAAACATTTGTGTTATTCCATTGTAGGTCTCTGCTTTACCTCATCCATTTATTTGTTTATTTATCAAACAGTGTAGACTTGGAGCCCTGAATTTGGGATATTTAGAAGGTGTATTGGTTTTTAGGTTTTTTTTGGGTTACCCTATAAACCTGATGCATTTAGCAACATAAGGAATATTTTAGCAATAAGCAACTTTGGACCAGGTTTTAAAAAACCCACTTTGGTTTATTTTTATAGCTATCATATCTGGGCTGCTAAAATCCATATCACCTGGCTTCGTCAGCCCACATAGTGGATCCCCATTTCTGTAAATGTATTTAAGCCTGACTTAAAAGCCCTCAGCTGGCTTTTATTCAGAATGACAGGAACCCTGTTTGAAAAGATATTGTCCTAAAATGACATGTCTGCAGAACTTACAAATGTGAATCTCAGTCACCTTCATTTTAACTCCAGCAAACAACAACTACTCACAGTCAGATCTTCTGTGGATGGAGCTCCATCCCTCAAATACTCTTTTTTTTTCAGTTAGCACCATCAGAATATCGTTTAGTATCTATTGTTTCTCTTCACCTAGGCTTTTACTATATGAATATAATGGATGAATTCATTTTCCTTTTTCCTTCATCTCTATTTATTAATCACATTTCTAGGTCAGCTAATCCCAAATGATTCCATGCAGCAATACATATACAAAAACAATAATATCAACTATAATCTAATAATAGGCACTGCCACCCAGCGGGAACAACAACCAAGTTCTCTTCATCTCTAGCAGAGGCAAAGGCAGACAAGCATGGTATCTCAAGGATTAGGGAAAGAGCCATGTTTAAATGCCAATAAGGTGGGGATTACACAAATTATATGAACAGGGAACTGCTATTTTGGAGAGCTGATACCACAAGAGAGAACCTTCCTGATTTCTGCATTGCTTAATTGGGGTCTCCTGCTTGAGCGTGGGGTGGGGGTGAGATAGGGTTGAACTAGAAGACCTCCAAGGTCCCTTCCAGCTCTATTTGATTGATTGAATGGTCCTGTCAATTAAGATTCTGTCAGATGTTAGAAGATAGGCAGAAAACTTATGCTTGTTTTGCAAAGTATCGGAACAATGATCGGGTGCCTAGGCAATTGAATTGGTTCTTCTGGATCTAGAGACAATAAGCACACTACCAAATAAATTTTAAAGCTTTATTGTTTAACTACAGCAAACAGATTTAAAAGCATGACATAAAAAGTATACATACCAAGCAAGATGATACCCAAATGTCTTACAACCTACCAGGAGCTCCTTAATAACAACAGCAGAGGTACCTCTTTGAAGGGTGGACAATTTCCACAATCCCCAGTCCTAAGTTTTGTGCAGAAGGTCCCCACAAACAATAACCAACCCAGGATTTTTAATCAAATCCTGGAACCATGACTTCATGGTCTTGCTATGTTCATCAGCTGCAAGACCTGAACTTGACTGGGTGGCATATGATTCTGGGATGGGAAGGGAAAGACTGAGATTTTCATAGCTTTTTAGCTGCAGTATGTGAAAATCCCCCATTTCTCCTTTATTCAATAAACAAACAGGTTAGATCAGAATGAGCTCTAAAGTTCTAGATTTTTCTTAATATGAAAGAGAAATAAAAATATGTCGCTAAACTCCTTGAAATAACAGTGGTCTTCCACATTGCCACTACAATGATCCCTGAAATAAACTAGGCCTTATACCATGTCAGGATTTACATGTGAAAATCAGAACCTGGAATTGCATCCAGAAACCATTTGGTACTCACTGAAGGTCATATTAGTGTCACATGGGCATGATGTGACCTGTCCATTATTGCTCCTGCTGATGCATTCTGGTTCATTTGTAGTTTTTGAACAGTTTTCAAGGGCAACCTCCTATACCGCACAGTGCTACAGTCCATCTGCAAACTCACTGCAAAGTCTGGACTAAAGTTATCTAACACAGTTGGGTCCAAGGATGGCCCTTTGAGGAAAGGGTGCCCCACTGTCTTCTTTAAGAGCTGGAATTGCTACACTGAAGAATTTTATCTAAATTAGATGGCAGCAACCAGTGATCTTGGCATCTCTCTCTCCCTCCCTCCTTCCCTCTCTCTCTTTCTCTCCCTCCCTCCTTCCCTTTTTCTCACCATTTAGGAACTTTGTCACAGTGACCAGAGAAGGTGAGCTCATATTAAAACTGTCCCTTAGTATTAATGGACTGATTACTGTCTCATTTTTGAGAGTTTATATTGTGGTTTGCTACATCCTTTTTGAAGGAACATCGTTCTTTGAGCATATACTAGTTAAAAATTGCCTATACTGGCCCTCTTACTTCTCACTGGTTTCATTGCTTATTCATGGGGTGGTTAAGCCATATAGATTTCCAAAAAACCCAATACTTTGTTAAATACTGTAAGTGTTCATAGCATTCTCTGCTGTTTTGATTCACACTGTTCCTCATTGTGAATTTCCAACTGTCTTCGTGATTTGGCATTTGTTGTGAGCAAACTGTCTTTGTTATTGTAAGCCTGAAATAAACCTTTCCATATGGGAATACAGGCATTGTTATTTTTTTCATTCTTCCAGTCTTACGCAGCAATTTCTTTTAGTTATCAGCCTTCTACATCAATTTGAGAAAGTTTTATTGTTGACATTTCAACCTGTCTCTTTGCCAGGTTTGTTGACATTCTCTATACCATTCTGATCATCTCACTTTTGTCCCAGTATTCTTCATGTTCTTCACACGATGACACTCAGCAAACTTCAGATGTAATAGACCAGATTTCGACCCAGACATGTCCCCCCCTCCCCAATAATGGACAAATTCATTGCATTTGAGGTACTCCAGACAAGGCAGTTAAAATTACATTAATTTTACTTTGATTTTATGATAGGCATGGCAATTTATTTCATTTGTGCATTAGTATAATCATTGCAAATGACCTACATTATAACAATGATGTACTTTCAGATTTAATGGTCATTTGGAAGTAATGGATACCTCCTTCTCCCAAAATGGTCCAATAAGATGTGGATTCATTGTCTTTGTTATTTTGTCTGTTATTTGTAATTTTCCAAGCTTTACTAGGCTTTTTTTAAAATAATTTACTCCCATCATGTCAAAATGTTCACATATATCTCTTTCTGTCTACCTCAATATGTATGTTTGCAAAAGCTGTAGTATTTGAGAAGTCAAAGACCACTGTTCAGATATTTGATTGTCTATAAAATTCCATGATGATGTCATTGGAAGTAGCGACATTATTTTCATCCCATTTATTTATTTGAAATATATTTGAAACAATACTGAGAAGAGCAACAAACATGATTAGGGGAATGAAGGTTAAAAGATATGAATAATCTCCCAAAGGTGATTTTTCAAGAGACAACTGGACTTTCTGGTTTTTCTTTGATGACGTTTTGCTTCTCATTCAAGAAGCTTCTTCAGAGCTGAAGAAGCTTCTTGGATCAGAAGTGAAACGTCTTCAAAGAAAAACCAGAAAGTCCAGTTGTCTCTTGAAAAATCACCTTTGGGACAACCATGACTTGGATGACTGAGAATCTCCATAGACATATGAAGAATGGTTGCAGGAATTGGCTATGTCTAGTTTAATTAAAAAAAGGTCTAGTGGTGATATGATAGCAGTGTTCTAATATCTAAGGGGCTACCACAAAGAAGTGGGGAGGGTCAACCTATTCTCCAAAGCACTGAAGGCAAGACAAGAAGCAATGGGTGGAAACTAATCAAGGAGAGAACCACCTAGAACTAAGGAGAAATTTCCTAACAATGAGAACAATTAAACAGTGGAACATCTTGCCTCCAGAAGTTGTGTGTGCTCCATCACTGGAGGCTTTTAAGAAAAGATTGGACAACCAATTGTCTGAAATGGTATAGGGTTTCCTGCTTGAGCAAGGAGTTGGACTAGAAGACCTCTAAGGTCCCTTCTAACTCTTTTCTGTTATTCTGTTAATATGCCTGCCATAATCAGAAGGACTCTTGAGAGTTTTCTATAAAACATATAAAATATCCATGGTATTCTAAATCAAACAATAAAATAAAATAATAAAATAAAAACAGTGCAATACAATAAAACATCCACGGCAAAGAAAATGG